GGGCGCGCACGGCGCGGCTCAGCTGGTTGTAGCGCGTGTAGTCCTCGCGGCGCGGGAGCCGGTAGCGCCGCAGGACGCGCAGCTCCGCAGTGCCGCCGCCCGCCGCCTCCCAGCTCACCAGGTCCAGCCGCTTCAGCAGCTTCTGCTCGTGGAACTTGAGCTTGCGGACCATCCTGCTGCTACTCGGGGCCGGGGTCCGGCCGCTCCAGCCGCCGCCGCCAGCCACGTGGCTGCGCCCAGCGCTTCCTGTTCCGGGTGCGGGGCTGCCTTCTCATTGGCCGCTCCCCTGCGTGACGTCACGGCGCGGGGGCGCGTTCTGGTCCGCATTGTTCGGCCCCTTTCTGTGACGTCGCGTTCGCTCTTTGCTCCGCGCAGGCGCCTCCCGTGCGGGGTCTGCACCCGGCGTCTCCTGCTGCGCCGGGGGCTACTGGGGCAGGGTCTCGGCCCGGGGCTGGCGCTGCACGCTGTCGCGGCCGCCCTGCTGGAGTCTGGGCTGCTGGCTTTTGTGGGCCTTTTTTTAGGCTAAGACCAAAGTGTATTTCATCGTTTTCTTGGCTGGGGCTGCCGGCGAACCAGACCGTAAGTCATGTCAAGGTCGGATCAGTGCCCCGGGCTTTATGCCACTGCTGGTGCACACGGTGTCTCGAAAGCAGCCAGCTTCCCGCAGCGCGCAGGGATTCCCGGTGCAGCGTGGGCCGGTGTAACAACTGTCCCCTCTTGTGCTATGGCTTGCTGGCAGCCACCCACAGGCCAGCGTACTTGGTGCTCTGGGCTGCAGGTAATTAGGTCTGTGCCCTGACCTATGGACAGACTTGGGAAACTATAAGCAAAATAGTATGCAGAAGCCTGACTTGTTATCCTAGGTTATCCCAAAGCAGCATTAAGTTGCTTGACCTCACAGGAGACGGAAGCTAGTTCTCAGGACTGTAATGGCCGGTCTGAAAGGTGTTACGCCTGTGTGAAAAACGTGTTTTCAGGTCGGTTCCTTGGGAATCGGGAGTTCCTGTCGCCGGGAGCCAGCCCGTACATTTGGCTCGCTTGGGACAGACTCTGCAGAAAGCATGCTCTGAAGGACCGAGGGAACTGAACTATACTTTCAAGTCATCTCCTCATTTTGACCCCACCCTTAAAAAGACAACACAGATAAGCAGAGCTGCTGGATACTGGCTGCTCGTGTGCTTTTGTGTTATTTCCTTTAACAAAAGTCATGACATTGGGAACGCAAGAGGAACGTTAATAGAAGAACCCTTCAAATTTTCCTTTACTTTTGCATTCTGGACTGATAGAGGGAAATCTGGAGAAACAAAATTAGTAGGTAAGAATGGGCTTCGGTGGGCTCAGCTATATTTCATTTTCATTCTTCAGTGGGCTAGCTATATTTCATTTGCAGGAAGTAGAGAAAAAGAAGTAGGATGCTATGCCATTTCTATGTCCCAGCTCTGCCTTTACGGGACCTCCTTATCCCTGCAAACACCTGCCTGAGAGCAGCTGCGGGGCAGGCCTCGCGTGCCTGGGTTCTCTTCAGCATAGAGCGTGACACTATTCTAGGGATGATGACGGCTGGGCTCAAGCGCAGGAGCAGAGGACAGAAATGCTGATCTGTGTTCCCATCCCTGCCAGAGTCTGTCTGTGGAGCTTCGGACAGGTCACTCCTGTGCCTTGCCTTCCCCACTAGCAAAATAGAGATGACCACACACTCCTGTATGGTTACTTGTGTCATCACTGACAGCCAGGAGAAGTGGAAGTTAGTATTTTATACCTACTTTGCTTCCTTCTGTGGAGGAAGAAATGATTTGACTTGGACCAGAACCATAAAGAATCCAGCAAGGATTTGTCAGCGGTAACCTGACATTAAATTCCTCAGAGTCTGGAAAGCATTTTGAGGTCTAGAATGCAAGTCATGACAGCACTGCATACTTGACTTGGCCCACCCTTAAGATAACTATGGAGATGTGCGTCTCTCACACGCACACACACACACTCTCTCTCCCTCTCTCTCTCTCTCTCTCTCTCTATATATATACACACACACCTCTTAGTCACTTGAAACGTGATCTGAAATCCTGATAAAGTTCTCGCCTAAGTTAGGCAAACCACTAGCAAACCTGGGGTTTGTATGTGGCCACAGGTACGTGTGAGCACTTGGCCTTATCTGCAGGGTTGAGGAAGTTGTGAATAGTCCAGAGCTTAAAAAAACAGGCCAATTTTGTTGTCTTTTCCTCCATCCAGTTGCATATATCCAACAGGGAAAGTGTTTCATGTCCTAACAGTAACTTGAGACTGTTTTTAAGCAGTTGACATGCTGAGGTTTGTGAAACAGCTACTGATCACAGGTTACATATTTATTAGGGGTTTATGATACATACTCTGCTTCTGAATTAAAATAAAGCAATTCATCTTTTAATACTTCATTTACTGTAAGTATATGTATGTGTGTATACATACGTACATATATATGTCTAATATATATCTATATCTAGATATGTATAGCTATATCCATATATATACACACACATATATATATACATACATATATATATATATATATATATATACACACACACACACATATATAAAATAAATAAATGTTACTGCATGTCAAAGCAAAGGTGGAAAGGAAATAAGATAGTTCTTCAATGGGATCTCAGCGCTACTAGCAAGGGAGGTGGGGGAGCAGAAGGAGGGGATTCAGAGGAGATGGTCTAGAGGTGGAAGCTGGGGAGAGAATAATACCAGGAGCTGAAAGGTGGGGCAGCAAAGGGATTAGAAAGAGGCATGGGCTGAAAGACAGAGGCAGAAGGAGACGGGGGCTAAGCTGGGATGGGGCTGTGCAGGGGAGGCTGATAGAGCCCCCAGTTTCATAAAATCGTAAGTTGTATGTGTCTGCATGCACATGTCCATACATAGGATTAAAGTGACATGTCTCCCCAGCCATGTGACACAAGGAGCAGCACTAAATGTGGCAGCTGTGTGAGGGGGTGGTGTTGTGCTGCCAGAAGGGGAACCCTCCAAAATGCTCCTCTCAAGCTTTGAACAGAGATGGAACTCCTACAGCCAAGGCAACCTCCTGCTCCTTGTGAGGCTCATATGTCAACTCATAATCAGGGGAGGCCATATCAGTGCAAAACGCAGCTTTAATTTATGGTTGAACCCTAAACCTCCTGGAGCTGTGTGCAAAACCATCTGCTTTTTGTCTTGCACGAACCCCTGCTTGCTCCCAAAAGAGCTGTAGCTGTTTTCCACCATCTTAACCACTCACCTTCCCAGTGCCCTACCACTGGGGCCTGCTGCTATAGTTTATACTCCTTTGCCAATATAACCTCTGTCTGAATCTGGCCCTTTAGTTCTGTATATAGCACTTCACCCTCTAATGTACAGATATCTTAAAACTACTAATCTGACACTGCACACAAGTGCTACACAGCCCCATGGGACAGGAAGTGAAGAATCCGGATAAAACTACAGGGAGTTGATTGAAGTGGGCAAAATGTAATTATCAAAGGAGGTTGAATTTTCCAAGGAAATCAGAGCTAGCATCCTCCCGCTCAGCACATGTACAAAGCAGCTATCTCCCCCAGTCCTCAGCACTTCAGTCAATACCCTGCACTGCTGAAATTCTGTGATCTGTTGTGGAGGAAGTCTTACTCTCTGACACACAGCATGGTCCCTTCTGGCTTTACATCTGTGATTCCCAGATGTGTTCTTTGGATCTTGAGTATAGCTTATTCCCAAACCTGAACATCCTGAATCTTTGTTCTCCTGTTCTTTTTTCCATTGCGTCAGTTTGCCGGTCTAAAAAGAAGAAAAGAATCTCCCAAGGTTTGTTGTGGTTTTTTAGGTTTGGCTGTTAAAGCGCCGAAGAAATGGCAACCAAGGGCACTGCCAAGTTTTACAGGATCCCTGAAGGGAAGGGGCCTTATTCTGTTGGCTGCACAGACTTGATGACTGATGACACCGTTCAGGTAGGACACCTATACCTGTCCTGTCCCTCCCCACTTCAATCACTAGCCTAGCACCAGTGTTAGACACTGACTACATGAAAAGGTCTGCTTATTCAGGTAGGAGGAAAATCACTGCTGTTCAGAACTGGAACCAAGCCTGCTTAAGTAAACAGTATTTTTTTTTAATGACTTAAGCAGCGGCATAATTCACACCGGGTGGTTTCATAGATTTCATAGATTCATAAACATTAGGGCTGGAAGGGACCTTGGAAGATCATTGAGTCCAGCCCCCTGCCCAAAGGGCAGGAAGTCAGCTGTGGTCATAGGATCAAAGTCAGCTGGTGAGAATAGGGCCGATGGGTAATACCTCTGGTCCAAGAATTGCTGTTAATGAGCTGATATGGTGGATGCTAGGATCAAAATGTTATATGAAACTGACAGGCAGACAAGTACCTTCCTCCAGCCTCCCAAACTTCGGGGAAGTGCAGAACTGGATCTAGATCCAAACATGAACATTGTTGCATAGGTCCACCTCCAAATACAGCTGAAGAGCCCAACCCCATTATCCTAGTTGAGAGAATCCTCCTACCAGCTAACAGCAAAGTAATTAACAGCAAATTCTTTGGGGCATCTATTCCTCATGGGGCAGGAAGGATAGGGAGGGACCAGAGGTTGCCACCCCACAAGTCCCAGTGACACTTGGAGTTTGAGGGGAGGGACTGTACACAGCATTTCTGCTGCACTGAAAACAGCATCATTGCTTTTTTAATCATGTCTGTTTGCCTCTGAAATTGGTTAGTGATGTAACAGAGCTCTCCAAAGTCTGATAGCGTAGGCAAAAAAGATAATAACCAGTTACCAGGCCACAGCCCATACTATGCTGATTTGCATTTACAGATACCCTTGCCTCCTAATTTTCCTACGCGATCACTTTTGCATTTGCATGGTATTTTTAATCACCAGAAAAAACATAAACGCTGGAATTTGTCTGTCATGATCATTGTTTACAGTGTTCATTTGCACATTTTTGTCTCTGAATTTTATAGTGTGTCCACCATATCCCTTTGGGTAGTTGAAATAAAGCTTAAGGGGTTCAAATTAGCTCTCATGACTTTATCAGGTAAATGATTTAGATAATTAAAATTCTCTCAGGGCTATTTGCAAACCACTTTCGCACATTTGTAAACAGTTGCTCATCTGTGTAATCCTCCATGGAGTAATTTCATATAACTATTACCAACGTGAATTAAGGTTTTGTGGCCTGTTCCTAAATACATTTTCAACATGAGGGCCATAAGAAAGTGTGTTGTGTAACTGAAGATAACTTTCATCCAGTGATTGTTGGGGTCTATATAGTAACAGACTGACAAACTCAAAATTTCGGACAATGTGGAACTTTTTAACAGGTTTAGTTTAAAATAGCTCCTAATGATTCTCTTGTCATTTTGCACACAGTGCTACAGTTCATATATTTAAGCAAAATACAACATGAGAAAGAAAGATATTTCAACAGTTTAGTGGAGATTCAGTAGTGCACTAACACACAAGAATGTTTTTATCTGCAGTTTTTAGGTGCATTGACACCTTCTTTGTTGTATGAAATGGCTTGTATACAGCACCCCCCTGTGGTCTGTGTAGAAAAGCGTTGGGCCGTAATTTGGGTGATTTGCCTGGTTCATGAGAAGGAACTGGAGAGGGGAGTGATCAGTAACTGGAATGAAAAAGTAGAGGGGGAGAGAGACCAAAGCAGACTTGGGAACTTTGTGAGTAGATGGCTTTGGAGGAAAAACATATTATATAAACCATGGAAGAAATACCCTGGAAGGCTCTTCATAATAATATTTTGCTGTAACTGTGTACAGGTTTGATCTGGAGCTGCCCAAGTGCTTTACAGAGAGGGTACAGTAGATACTGTTGGCCCAAAGGCTATTTGGTATAAAACCATCTAAGTGCTCATAGGTTTTTCCCAGTGGGTGC